TGTATGTTTGTTTTCCATAAGAACGTTAGTATCAATGGGTCTAACTCCTTTTAAAAGAAAGCTTATTGGTATTTTTAGTGAGATTGTGTTAAATTTATAAATTAGCTTAGAACTGATCTGCTTATAATGCTGAATCATTCTTTCTAAGAATAGGGGACATCCTTCCATTTGAGAAAGTCTAATTTTGTGTTTTTTAGTAATGCTTTATAGTTTTTCCCATACAGGCTTTGCACATTTCTGGTAAATTAATTTCTATGTATTTAATCTTCTTTGTTATTGCTGTAAATGGAGTTTTCTCTACTATTAGGTCTTTTAACTGGCTATCATTTGTGTAAATGAAGGGTATTGATTTTTGTGTGTTTGTATCCTGCTACCTTACTGAATTCTTTTAGTGTTTGAGTTAGTTTTATCATTGATTCTTTACCAGGAAAATCCTATAGTATCATATCATCTGCAACTAGACATAGCTTTACTTCTTATCAACTCTTATGCCTGTAATTGATTTATTTTGTCCAACTGCATTGATTAATCTTTCTAGTATAATGTTAATTAGTAGCAGAGATAGTGAACATCTTTGCCTTGTTCCTGATTTTCATGGAAATGCCTCTAGTGTTTCCCCATCAAGAGACTGGCTTTAGGACTAAGGTATATATATTTAATTGTGTTAATGAAGTACCACTCAGTTCTTATTTTCTCGTCTTTTTATAAAGAATAGGTGTTGAATTTTGTAAGGTCTCTCTAGCATCTATAATCATATGGGGTTTTTTCCTTTAGATCAATTAATATGGTATATGACACCAATAGATTTCTTAATATTGAACCAACCTTCCATTCTTAGAATAAATCACATTTAGTCATGGTATGGTAATTTATTAATGTGGTAAACTGTTTGCTAACATTTAATTTATTTCCACATTAATAATCTGAATGATACTGGTCTATAGTTCCCTCCCCCTCTATTCCTTCTATTCTGTACCTTCATAAAATCTTCATAAAAGAAATGGAGAAGTTCTACTTTATTTTCAATATTCTGAAACTATTTATAGATTATTGGAATTATCTGGACTTGGAAGGTTTAGTAGAATTCCTCTGGAAAACCATCTGGGCCTGAGATCATCTCCTTTGCTACCCTTGAAGGAGGAGGATTCCCAGATGGGCTTTAAAATTGTGAGATAAACCTTGAATTTTCAGCTGACAGTGGGTTTTAAGTTAAATTGGCTGGTGAGTTTCCTTTGCGTTCCTTTTGGAGAACTTCTGATTTAAATTACATGTCAAGAAACTAAGCATCCTCTTCATCCTCTTTCCACTTGGAAGAGCTATGAGGCTACCTTGGAGCCATCACCAGATATAAACAGAGGACACTGTTCCTCTTGAAAATTTAAAATATTCCAATGCACCCTTAGGATTTCACTACAGTGCCCTGGAGAACCTCATCACACAGCTTAGGAACCACAGGTATATACCCTCACAGCCTTTTTTACTATGCATGTATGTATATATACACTCCTAGATATTTTTGAGCTCATACCATACACAATTTTATACCCTATTTAAAAATCTCTGATAAAATATATACATTTTCCATGTCATTGAATATTCTTTTATAACACTCTTTTTGATATTATAGTCTATCCTATGAATATATCAGAAGTTATTAAGTACCTACTTTTGGATATTTAAGATATTTGTAACTATTTTTCCTGTTCTAAACAGTACTTTGATGAATATCCCAGTGAATAAATCTTAGCATTGTCTTAGGATAAATTCCTAGACATAGAATTGCTAGATCAAAGTGTATGAATATCTTAAAGGGTTTTTTTGGTAAAGATTTTATTTTTTTAAGTAATCTCTACACGCAATGTGAGGCTTAAACCCACAGCTCCAAGATTGAGAGACTCATGCTCCACTGACGAGCCAGCCAGGCGCCCTGTCTTATAGGTTTTTTTTTTTTTTGCCACTTTTATTTATTTTTTTACTGAAGTATAATTAAGACACAGTGTTACATTAGTTTCAAGTGTACAACAGTGATGTGTCAAATCATTATGCTATGCTCACCAAAAGTGTAGCTACCATCTGTCACCATACAACACTATTACAATACCATTGGCTATATTCCCTATGCTGCAGCTTTTATCCCCATGACTTACTCATTCCATAATGAATGGAAGCTTTTACCTCCCACTGCCCTTCACCCATTTTGCCCATCTTCCCTTTCCCTCCCCTCTGACAACCATCAGTTTGTTTATGGATCTGTTTCTGCTTCTGTTTGTTCATTTGTTTTGGTTTTTAAAGTGAAATCATATGGTGTTTGACTTATTTCACTTAGCATAATATAATCTCTTATACTTTGATAAATATTGGGAAATTGCCCTCTAAAAGAGTGTAACAACTTATACTTCCTCCAATCTTATATGGGAGTATATGTTATAGGCTTTTCATTTGATGGTTAAAGAGTTTGATTATAAGTGATTATGAATATAGATTGAGATATTTGTGTGTTTTAGGCACTATACTGGGCACTATTTCATACACATACAATTTAATTATATTTACATAACACTGTATTAAATCTTAACAACCCTGTAAAATTGACGTTATTATCCCCATTTTACAGATGAAGAAACTGGGACTCAACTTTTTCAAAATCACACAACCAAAAAAAATGTAGAGCTGGGATTTAAACCTAGTTAGACTCATAATCTTAGTACTGGATCACTGATAATTCATGAAATTGATTGGCTATTAACAATGATCATGATGATGTCTAATACATGTTGAGTGCTTATTATGCATTAGGTACTATTTATATGTATTAACACATTCAGTCTTTGTTTCAAATTTATAATGTACTATTATCCCTGAGACACTGAAATGATTAACTTGTTCAGGGTCATACAGCTAATAAATGGTAGAGCTGGTATTCAAATCCAGGCAGTTTGATTTCACAGTCTGTACCATTAATGACCAAACTACAGTATAACAGTTTGCAGAGTTGTGGAAGACTGTGTATCAGAATCTCATTATGAATGCTTTTTTCTATTGCTAAGAAAATGTCCAGCAATTTGGCGGCAAATTTCCTGTCCCTATAATTGCAGCCTTTTCTCTTGCAGCAATATACAGCCCTTGTAAGCTTGGTGCATAGAACTGTGTTCTAAAAAAAAAAAAAAAGAACTGTGTTCTATTCTGAGTCACTTCCAGGTCCAAGGGATATAACTTGAATGGGAAAATCTTCCAGTGAAATTGGTGACCCAAACTCAATTAAATAAATGAAACAGTATTTCTAAGTAATTGGGGAGATTTTAAGTATTATCATTTAAGATCACTTTCTGGTTTACATAAGTATGATCTAGACTCCTCCTCTTATTGACATTTGTTGGGTAAATGAAGGAACACCCTCATTGTTATTCATTATTTTAGGCTTTTTCCTGTAGCCTACTTTGGTATTTAGATGTTATTAAAAATTATGATGATTATGACAAATGGTGATATTTTTATGTCATTTCTGTAAATGCTCAACATTATTCTCTCCCACCTACCCTCCTGAAAAAACAACTTAATGAACCACAAAACATGTTATAATGAATGGAAAAATATTTTTAGCATTTTTATGCAGAAAATGCCTCATTAAAAGCAAATGCTTTAGCAAGCAGATTTGAGATTAATAAGAACTTTTGTCAAGCAGGGGCTTTTACAACAAATCACTAGCATGTGTAAGTGCTCTATATAAAGACCTATAAAGCCCTAAGAGTCTCTCACCTTCCTTTCTTATCCCTGGGCTGCACTGCAGCAGTGTAGTTGAGTGTGACATAGCACTGAGTAGACTCGATGAGCCTGAAGGACATGGAGCCTACCATGCAGCCACAAGTAGGAAAAATATCTGTGTATTGTTCAGTGTCATTCACTGTTTTGTCTGGATATGTATAGTTCTAACGCAGATTCATTTAGATGAAGCCTGTTCTCAGCTGGATGTTTGGCATCATGCAGTCCAAATATTTTGCATCTATTTTGTGTATTGTAAAAGCCATAACGGTGCAGGGTTTATTACTATACATACAAACTTAATTTCAAGAAAAACCTCAACTTGGACCCACACTTGTAACTTCTTTAGACTTTGGGCCTCAAACTGTAATGACAAGGGATCCAGCCATACCAGCAGCCATATAGGCTGATTTGGTCACAGAAGTCATAGCCCCTCACTTGAGCGATGCCCTCCTCAGAGGTACAAAGTGCTCACCTATCCCCACCAAGGCTTTACAAAGCACACTTGTGGTGATGGTGTTTGTAGGTGTTCCAAGCTAGGCTTAGCTTCATCTGTAATTCATACATGGGGCTTGGGCTGTTATAGCCACATCCACCCAGGGAAAGCTGAAATCAGCAGCAGTGATGAAGACACACCGATAACTGCTTACCCTGCAGAACTAGCCTCCCTTATTGAATAGGGAAGCATAAGATAATGACATCGCCCATCTTCAAATGGTGATTTTCTCATCCCCACCAAGTCATCTACACTATCACCTGACCAGTTACAGTTAACATTAATTGAGGTCTTACTCTGTGCCAGGCACCATGTTACATTCTTTCCATGCCTTATCTCTCTTAACTCTCAAGGTTGATGAGCTAGATGCTATTAATATCGCCATATTACAGATGAGGGAACTGAGGACAAAGAAGCAACTTGCCCTAAATATTTCAGCTTATATGCAGAAAAACTAGTATTTGAAGCAAAATATTCCCCTGATTTTAGAGCCCTTGATTATTATTGCCTTGTTCTGCATTGTGCAATCAGGTAACTAAAAAAAAATACTTCTGTAACCCTACTCTATTCCCCAAAAGAGGCATGAATGAAAGAGGAAAAAGAATCCAGTCTTTCTCAAATGCCTATAACTTGCTCTCTTAAGTGGCCTAGCCTCCTCTACTAGGAGGAATGAAATGGATTCCCAAGACCCACTCATGCTTCCTGATGAGCAAGGCCAGGGCTTCTGGCTGGCCACCAAGCTCACCGTTAAGAAGTGCCGGTCCTTAACTTCACGCCTCCTCTGGCTGTGAGCTGGTGGATAGGCTGGCAGTGGAGGAGCTGCTACAGAAAGGGGGGCAGCGGCTCTCTGCTCCCGGCGATCACTTCGGCTCCGGTGTTCTGGGGGTAGAAAAAGCAATAATACAGAAACATCCTTGGCATTTTCCATTTTTCTTTCCCCCTTGGGAGGGTAAGCAAAAGGCTAGAAAAAGTAAGTTTTTGCTAATCTGGCTCACCTATATACCACATAAGATTTTCAGCATGATTTCAAACTAAACTTCCACTTCACATTAATATGAAGACAGGCACTTACATTTTAGTGGGTCCATCTCATAATCTTTGTAGAAGATGGCTCACTCTGAGTTTGGAAAAAGCAGTATATTTTCAGCATGCCTCATTTCAAAACTACATGAGCCCCCCCCCTCAAAGTCCAGAACAATGCTGGAAGATTTGCTGCCTTTGATGCTGGAGTGGATGGTAGGCACAGACATGCCAGAACGGCCTGGGGAGTGGCAGGAACAAGTGCTCACAGCCATCCAGGAGGTGACGGGAGTTGGCTCACACTGGCTCACAAGTGCTGACTGCTTTGTGCTGAGGAAGTCAGCAAGCCAGTTTTTAAACTCTTGGTAGCTTGAAAGAGGCCACGGTGGAGGTATTTACATCACAGAAATTAATGAGTGTTATAAATCAGGGCTTTTATTTATCTTTCTATCATATATCCATTTATCTATCTATGTTTTCTTTTCTAGAGAACCAGTGACCGGCACACCATGGCAGCCATCTAAGCTTTGTCATTTGTAACACTCAGAGGGCTTTGAAATCCTAGGCTCCTAGAGAAAGTAAGGGAATCCCAAGGATCAAAGTTGTCTGATTTAGGAATAAAGCTACCCCTGGGGAAAGCCAAGAAGTTTCTATTTGGGGGGATGAAGTGGTCCTGCCTTGGTAACAAGAATCACTCAGACATGAAGAGCACAGTTTAGGAACTGGGTGCCTCCGTGAGCTACAGAGCTCACCCTGCCTAACACACGGGCCAACACTAATGGCTGCCCTGCCTGCAAAATCCAGCCCGCATTCATGCCCAGGGCCTGAGATCTTGTGACACCCCCCCCACACACACACACACAATATGACCAAGATACAAAGTCACTTTACAGGTCCTCTTTGCTAAATTGCCTCCATAGCCAGTGTGTATCAGAAAGACCTTTTGAAATAAATGTCTTCCTTGCCAAAGTGCCTACCTCCAGTGCAACCCTCTTTTTTCTTTGCAAGCAAACATGGGCTTTTCTAAATGGACAGTGTAAGGCAAGAGTTACATTTTAAAATTCCTAATGAGGAGTAGAATACAGGTACACTGGTGAGGAGAAGGTTGGAGGACAGGAGTCAGTAGGGAGACATCAACTTAATTTCCCATTTAGTTGCTCCCTTCCTACACTTTCTTAAATCTCTCTCTTTCATTTGCCCTAGGCTGGGAGGAGGCACACTAGATTAATGGCTCCCTAATAATACTTTTTTCTGGCATTGTAGTAGGGAGAACATTCATCTGTGCAGACTCTTGCTCCTTATTCCTTTAGACCACTGGAACTTAGACCTCAGCCCTGAAACTTGAAAGAAAATATAAAATAAAAATATCTCTTTAGAGCTACTTAGTAATATCTCTCCCTGTCTTACAAACATAAATGATGGTGTCATTTAAAGCTATTATTGGCTCTGAGTATAAAGAATTGCTAAGAAAAAGGGGGAAAAAAGAGGAATCAGATGCTAAATAATTTGAAATCCACTGAGGTGCAACTTGCTCAGGGTAGCCTTTTCTGAAGCTCCATAGCATGATTTAGTGCCTTTCCTCTGAGCATCCATATCACTGTGTTGAAATTACCTGATTACTTGTCTGTTTCCTTCACTAGACAGGCATTCCTTGTGGACAGGGACGAAATATTTGTTATCGCTCTCTGAATCCTAGATTTAGCACAATGCTTGGGCCTCAGTAGGCTTTGTTGAGAGATTTGCTATGGAGCAGATCTTGAAAACAGCCAGTTTCTAGGTTCTGATCTCAGTACCCCCTCCCCCACTCTAGCTTTCTCCTTCTAGCCTCATCTTCAAAAGGAGCACAGCGCCTCTGCCACCACAGCTTTGCTCGTCTGTGCTTCATTAGCCACTCACTCCTGGTGGAAGCCAGGATCTTCCAGCTGTCCAAATAGAGAACCCCCAGGGAAGCTCACTGCGGCATTTGCTGAGCAAGGTCGCTGTCTGGTAGGTATTACACATGACCACCAGATGGCAGAAGTGGTATTCTGATGAATGCACCGCTAAGCTACTGTTTCTTGGACAAGGTTAAAAAAAAAAAGTCGCTTTCTAATTTTAATTCCACACTGCATGTTTTTAATTCTATGATGCCTATAACTCCTGTTTATGGCTCTCTGCAGTGCTATTAAAACTACTACACCCAAGATTTGCTGTTAAGACAACCTCAAAGAAAGCCAGTCTATGGATGACAACATGCAGCTCCACAGTCTTCCTTCCCAAACCCCAGGAGGCCTTATATCCCTCTCTCAGCCCCCAGGAGGAAGTTCTGAGAAAATTGATATTGGCACTTGCTGTTCCTCAGTTCTGTCATTAAGTCCAAACCCGACAACACAGTGAAATGTGATAGCTTACAAGCAGCTTAATATTATCTGGTTGAATCTGGAAAAATCTAATCAGGGATGACTTATGAATAATAATAAAGGGATAAAAATAATTATGTCTAAAGGGCTCACGTAACTCAAGCTTTCTGATGATGGGATCAGAGAAGGTATTTAGTGAGAATGATCAAATTCCTCTGTCATCATTCTATGCCCTCAATGCTCAACCAGTTTTCTACAGAATTTGATTTACTTACACATACATTCATTGAGGACCTACTCTATGTCAGGTTCATGTTAAGTGATTTGAATAAAAAAATTAATAATACATCATCCTAGCTCTTGAGTTGCTCATGGATTAATGGTAGAAGACAGGCCTACAAGAGGTTAGTGATGATATCAGCTTATAAGTGGCACGACTGTGAGGATGCAAAAGACATTATTATGGGAACAGTGCCTAATCGAGGCTGCAAAGGAATGGTGAATATATTAAGATTTCCAGAAGGTACTTGCACTAAAAATTTGGTAAAGAAGGACTTTTTAACTAACTATAAGATCGAAGTGACTCAATTTATTTTATTTTATTTTTTGTCATTTTTTAAAAGATTTTATTTATTTATTCATGAGAGACACACACAGAGAGAGAGGCAGAGACACAGGCAGAGGGAGAAGCAGGCTCCATGCAGGGAGCCTGACGTGGGACTCGATCCCAGGTCTCCAGGATCACGCCCTAGGCTGAAGGCGGCACTAAACCGCTGGAGCCACCGGGGCTGCCCAAAGTGACTCAATTTTAAAAAATTGAAGTGAATAGTAAGAATGCCAGAGATATTCTAGAGAATACTGGTCATCAGTCTTTACTACGAGTGTCACAGTATCTGCTACCAATAATCAAGGGGAATTATTTTTTTATTTTTTATTTTTTTGTACATTTTTTATTGGGGTTCGATTTGTCAACATATAGTATAACGCCCAGTGCTCATCTCGTCAAGTGCCCCCCTCAGTCCCTGTCACCCAGTCACCTCATCCCCCTGCCCACCTCCCTTCCACTACCCCTTGTTCATTTCCCAGTTAGGAGTCTCTTGTATTTTGCCACCCTCTCTGATTTTTCCCACTCATTTTCTCTCCTTTCAAGGGGAATTTTTAGAAGCACTTGCATTAGGGATATTAGTAGGTTAATTCTTTCATTAAAGGGGGAAAAGACTAGGGATATGGGGAAAGGGAGAAGCCATAAACATATGGAAGAAAATAAGCTGAAAACAAATGTGTCCTTTCTCCATCCTCACAGTGATGTTAAGATGTTTTATTTGAATTGTAATACCTTTGGAAAATACCCTTCCTTAAAGGAGCACAGGGGATTCAGAACAAAGACACTGAATGTACAGATACTATCTGTCTCTACAGCAAAAATCTAAAGGCCAAAAAAGCTGGCGTGCCAACTTCTGATACCCAACTTAGGGGGCTCTAAAAGGGTGATGCCAGTTTTTAATCTCCTTGTCCTAACTACAATGGTTTTAAGTCACTGAAAAGTAAGAGAAGGCTGTTATCTTCTACCTTGCCTGCTGTATGCCGATCTCTGGCTTTCTCAGGACTGTGAGAGAAAGAGAAATAGAAATATTTATTTTCCTAGGACACAGTGTATGGTGAGGAGGAAAAAAGCTCTGGCTGAAGGTCTGGAGGCCTGGATCTGGGTCTTGGCACTCCACCTAATGGCCTGCCTGTTACCCTGAGCAAGTTTTCTGACCTCTCTAGGCCTCCAAGTGCTCTGCTATAGAATGGACCAGACCACTGGTTCTCAACAGGAGCACATCCCCTGAGGGAAGTTCTGGTTGTCTTCTAGTGTAGTCATTCCTAGGCATTTGTATATTACAAATATTATAGATCATTTTCCTTTTAAATTCTCATATTTATTTTTTTTAAATTTTTATTTACTCATGATAGTCACAGAGAGAGAGAGAGAGAGAGAGAGAGAGAGAGGCAGAGACACAGGCAGAGGGAGAAGCAGGCTCCATGCACCGGGAGCCCGATGTGGGACCCGATCCCGGGTCTCCAGGATCGCGCCCCGGGCCAAAGACAGGCGCCAAACCGCTGCGCCACCCAGGGATCCCTAAATTCTCATATTTAGACTATGGTGCTATTTCTATTATGTGTATAAACAGGTATATTACCCATGAATTTCATTTCAGTGTGAAAAAGGGAGCATTTTAAAGTACTTGCTATAACAACAGGAGGTGTTGGAACCAATGGGATGGAGAACAGCCCCTAGATGGGACAGGCTCTGAGTTCTCTCCCTGAAAAGCCCCCCCAAGCCCATGATCAGTTACCTCTGCGCAGGGCTTGCAGGCTCTGCCGGGCATGGCGATGCAGTTCCTCCACGCAGGGTGGCCTTGTGGCTGGGAGGAAGATGTTTCTCTGCTGGTGCCATGGTGCACGGTAGTATACACTCAGCTTACTCTCAATGTCCAGGTTGGATACAGCTGCAAGACAAAGATAGAAATGGGGCATTATACATCACAAGCTTTAAACTGTGCATCTGGCAGACCCTGGGGTGGGGAACAGGGCTGGAGGCCGGGTGGAGTGCAAGTCCAGAGAGCTGCATTCACAGTAAGAACGCACTCAAGGCTGGAGAAAGAGGGTTTGTAGCTTATGGTATGGAAAGAGACAGCCTTTGCCCCCAAGCTAAGGGATGGGAGACCCCAGGACACCAACCATCTGCTTGTGACCAGCTTTCTTTCAACACCTCTTTGTACTCTGTGACACATTCGCGCATCAACCTGGACAGACTCTTGGCCATCCACGCTTGGGAGTGGGACTGGAGAGGGGGAGTGGTCCTGCCTTCCAGGAATGCAGAGAAAAGCCTTGACTGTGAGTCAAAAAGGTCACCCTAATTCCAGTCTTTTGGCCACAGAACCTCAGAATTATAGTTCTGCACACCTGCTCCTGATGCCCACCTGAACTTTGCAACTCCCGTACTCTGCTTTCTGTCTCCTCTAACCCCTGGCCCCCAACCCTTACTATTTCACCTTATCCTGCCCTCCAACCTGCCAACTCCATAGCCTGCCATCTTTCGAAGCATTGCTCAGTTTCCTTAGTTTCATCTGGGGAAGAGGACAAGCACTGAAGAACCCATTACAGGGGTACTGGGTGTTAAGTGAGGAAACCACAGACAGTGCAGGTGAGGAGAAGGGTACTGTCCTTGCAATGCATCCAAGACATCAGGGAAAGAGGCCTCGTTCCCCAAAACACACCCTCGGTCTTCATGTACATACTGAGCCTAGGATGGGGATCACCTATGAGTGATCCTCAGATAAATTTATCTTCAGATGAATTCTCATGGGAGGAGCTGGTCCTAGGCAGGAAGATTCTGGTTACGAAATTACTACACAGAGGAACACTTGGGCAGCTTGCCAGCCTCAGGAATGGTAAGAACTGGCCCAGAGTGCTTTACCTGCCAGACCTGCTATCCCAAACAGACCCCTGCTCCTCCCAGTCTCATTGTCTCCTTCTGCTTCTTTCCTTCTTTTCCCAAGTGGATGATTTGAGCATATTCTGCCCAACAGCTTATTCCTGTACCCCAAAGAGTCTTGGTTCTTCTCCAATCCTTTTCTTTTTTGAAGTCTGGTTTACCATTTCACTTTGGGAAGCCTTACACAGAACAAGCTACTCCACAGATAAAGCATAAAGACAAACGGAAAAGGAGGGAAGATACTTTTGTAGAAAGGAAATAGAAGAGGGATCCCTGGGTGGCGCAGCGGTTTGGCGCCTGCCTTTGGCCCAGGGCGCGATCCTGGAGACCCGGGATCGAATCCCACGTCGGGCTCCCGGTGCATGGAGCCTGCTTCTCCCTCTGCCTGTGTCTCTGCCTCTCTCTGTGTGTGTGTGTGTGACTATCATAAATAAATAAAAAAAATTTAAAAAAAAAGAAAGGAAATAGAAGAAAACTGGGGAAGATGCAATCTTTTGATAATTAATCCTCTCTCCTACTAGCCAGTAGTGTATTTATGGCAATTAGTTTTGGTTTTCTTTTCTTTAATTTTTCTTTTATTTTTTGAGAGAGAGAGAACGAGCATGTGTGCTAGTGGAGTTGTGGAGAGGGGGACAAAGGAAGGAGAATATCTTACACAGGCTCTATGCTCAGTACAGAGCCCAACACAGGGCTTGAGCCACAACCCTAAGAGCATGACCTGACCCAAAATCAAGAGTTGGACACTTAACCGACTGAGCCACCCAAGTATCCCTTGGTTTTGTTTTCTAATGCAGTCTTCAGTAGTCTTTCTTTTTCTAGAATAATGCATCAAAATCACAAGGACCACCAATAGAAACAGACATGTTTCCAAAGATGCTAAAGAAATATAACATGTACAGGGTCAAGGGAACAGTGCCATACCTATAAAACAGTGCCATGCAACAGAAATTTCTGGGATGATGAAATGCTCTATTAGCTGTGCCATCCAGTGTGGTAGCCACTAGCCACATTGGCTATTAAACAATTTTAATTTTTAATTTTTTAAAAATTTAAGTTTAAATAGCTATAAGTAGCTATTCCTTTGGACAATCATGATTATCATGAATACTCTTATATTCTATTACCTTCAGCTACAAAGGAGATTACTCCCTTTGACCTAGATTTTTTTCTTCTTTGGTGTTTAATATCTAAGAAGAATTCAGGCCCAAGGGTTAGATCCCAGGATTATCTTCCTGGATAGGGGACAGTATTTTTAGGGCAGAGTTCTATGGGGCCAAACATAAAGGCAGCAACTTTTCTTCCTTGAGTTACTCTATAACCTTAGCCCTTTCCTTGGAAACCATAAGTGCTTGGTGAACTAGTCAGGGGTCACTGAGTTCTGGGGACAAGAAAACCTAGGAGGAATCACTAAGAGAGAAATCAGTCTCTTTAGGCCTAACATGAGGCGTGGGAGGCCTTGAGGTAGAAAGGGCCAGGCCATATCTAGATCAGAGCCTCCCTTCTCTCCTGAGTCAAGTAGTGAAGATTGCTAAGACAGAGGCTTTGTTTAGCTATCCTCAGAGGAATGCTCTGGTTCAGTGACCAAGACTAAAAAATCAGCCCCTGCCTGGCTGCCGAGGTCAACTGCCATCTAACAGGGCAAAAGTCATTATCAAACTTAGCAGAGGTGGGTGGGAATTCATGTGCTAGTGACAGCTGGGAGAAGGTACTGAATAGAGAGCTTGCCTGGGGAAAAGAAGAGGCCAAGAAGTTGGGCAGTTCCAGGAGCAGAGGGTCTCCTGAGCACCTCCTCTCCTGGGCCTATCCCTTCAGGAAAGAAAGAACCAGGGTTCAGGGCTGAGCCCAGGTGACTTGGGGATAGACTAGAAGACTTTTATAGTCCCTCGTTCCCACAGCACCAATGACCAGAACTTTAGGATGTTAACTTTTGATAGCTCCTCAGAAACCAGGTCAAGTGGCCATGGTTCCTTAATCTTAGTATGGGGAAGAGATGAGCTCCTGCTATTTATCTCAGTGTTCATCTGAAGAAACAACTCATCAGAAGTGCTTGTCAAAAACACAGATGACTGGGCTCCAGCCTAGACTTCCTGAACCAGAATTTCCTACAGAGGCCCTAATAATCTATATATTTGAAAAGTGCCCTCAGATTATTTTTTATCATGAGGTATCTGTGAGAAACAGAAAGTGTTATCTCATGGTGCCCTGGAATCTTATGTGAATGAAGGGAGATGGGCAACATGATGGGCAGTGGGATGAAACTGCCAAAAATGGAAACATCTATCCACAACCTGGAATGTTTTTCAAATAGCTCTTATGTCCTAGGCACAGTGCTGCCATGTAACGCAGAACAAAACACACAGGAATTCTTGCCCTCCTGGGGTGTATGTTCTCTGGTTCTGTGCAAAATGGTTTCGATGGGATTGTGCCTGGAAGCAGTAGGTTGGGAGAAGAGTCCTCTGGCTGACTCCTATGTTCTACTATTAGATCACTCACATTGTCTAAGACCTCTACACTTCTAAAGGCCCTATCACCAAAAAGATCAGTCTCCACTCCTCCATCTCCACCTTTCTACAATAGGTAACCCCAAGTTAAAGCATACATTAGCAATCATAAAATAAGTGTAAAGAAGTTCTGTAAAATTCTTTCTTCATTATCAAATATTAAGTTATTTGAAAAAAAGCATTATTTGATACCACTGCTTTGCTAATGCCCTAAAGACATTCTTACTGTGCCTACTGGGCAAGCCAGTGCTGAGTTTCTGGGCTGCAAAACTCTGCCTGCTGCTCATGACTGTGGATTCGCAGATGCAAAGACTAACACAGGAGTTCCAGCACAGGCAGCCAAGTCATGGTTCCTGGGAAGAACCAGCTCTCTCAGTGACAGCCTCAGGACTAGGAATTCTCACCTCTCCCCATCCAGTCTTTTTCTTTATCTGCTGAGAAGCTATAATGGATTTCTGCCATGCATTAGCAGGTGAACATTTCACTCATCAGTTGCCACAATTGCGTTTATCTCTTAGACGGAGAAGGGAAGAAAACTCTTTAATCCTTTTGCTTTCAGTTTTGTCCTTTGGTTACAGAGCATTAACTAGTATTATGTGTCCACTGGAGGCAGACATACAGGCACTAATGCCGCTCTTCCTGGGGAAAACTCCCATTTTCCTTCTTAAAATTTATTCCTTTCTCTAAGTAACAGTTCAACGAAAGCTGAATACACTCATTCATAAATTCATTGCACCACTGCCATTTATTTCAAAGCTGTCCCACATCTTCAGGCTCACCATGCCCCCCTTTCTTCCCTAACAATTACACTGTGGCTCAGCCTTGGAAGCTAGTGGTCTTAGGACTCCCAGTGATGTTTGTTCTCATAAAAATGACACAAAGAGCAGCAATAAGGTTTCTCCTCTGCTTATTTGGATACATCGAGACCCCTGCCCCCATCCTGTGGGAAGCAGAATTCTAGGATAGCCCCCAAGATTCCTGTCCTCTCATGTATGTACCCTGTGAATTACATTGCCTATACTCAGGGTGGTGGGGGACCACACAGGGTACAAACATGAGAAGACAGGCAATGGGGATTTTAAGATCCTTACTCTGTTGACTTTGAGTTAATCAAAAGGGAGATAATTTTGTTGAGTATATCTGGCCTAATCAGCTGAGTTCTTTAAAAAAAAAAGAAACAAGACAAGAAGCAGCAAAGACTTTCTCTTGCTAGCCCTGAAGAAACAGACTGCCACACTGTAGATAAGGCTGAGTGGCAAGTAACGGGGGACAACCTCTAGAACCTGAGGTCCTTAGTCCTACAATTTAAAGGAAATGCATTTTGCCAACAACCACTGAGCTTGGGAGAAGCCCCCAGGGCTCAGATGAGAACTCAGCCCCAACCAAAGCCTTGGTTGTAGCTCGGTGGGACCCTGGGGAGAGGACCCAGTGAAACTGTGTCCAGACCCCAGACCTGCAAGATAATAAATGGGTGGTATTTTAAGCTGCTAAATCTGTGATATGTTGTTAT